CCAAATCCGCCGGCAGATATGCATTTCCTTTCGTTTAAGCCACGCTGCTACTAGTGCCGGCAGGGCTCTCCCCAAGGAGAGCTCCGTTTTCTCCTATTGTAATATTTCAAAATGAAATTTTCATAGTTTGTGATTTGACCAGTGTGCGTCACACAAGATTTGCTCACGACTCAGAATGGCAAATAACAGGGTTACGCCCCCGTTTTCGACGACATTTACACGATGTATGTAAGAACAAATTACTAGCCATTTGTATGTAAACGCAAGAATGCCCCCGTTCCCTCCCTGCCACGCGTTCAGCCAGCACGCTTAAATCCCTCCCCTCTCCTTTTCTCAAAAAAAATTCCCACGCCACCCCAATTCGCCCGGCTCCCTCCGCTAATCAGTATTTAAGCGCCAACCGCCCCCCTCTTAGGTTTCTCCCCAAAAGGGGGAGAAATTTCCACTCTCCCCTCTCCCACTCTGAGGGGAAAACGCACAGGTCGGGCTGTAGCTGGTGGCACAGCAGATTCAGAAGCGTATGTATGTCCAGCTGCCAGCGCCGATGCGTTTAAGAGTCTCCGGAAGACGAAACACTGGCGGTGCTGCCGCAAGAAATGCCACGATGACGGAAGGGAGGTAAGTTTGAGTACATTAACTAATACTTGGTTTTCTGGGATGAAACTGTCGCTAGTCGGCTACTGTATGAATGGTGCATGGGTGCATCGCACGCACACGCGGCGGAGATAGCGGACGTGTCGAAGACTCGTGGTACTTCCCACGGAAGGCTACCACCGCACAGGTAATGTGTGGCTTAGTACAGCTTATTAACCGTCACGGGACATAACAACACAAAAAATTGTATTGAATTTTCATTTTGAAATATTACAATAGGAGAAATCGGAGCTCTCCTTGGGGAGAGCCGCCGGCAGAATTGCACGAGCTTAAGTAAATCTGCTGGCAGATATGCGCTTGCTTTCATTCAGAACACACCAATTACTATTAATTCTACTGGTATAATTGCATCACTGAAAGAAATCTGGTGGAAGCTGTGTACTTGCATTCATTTAAGCCATGCTGTTAAATCTGCCGGCAGAATTGCAATACACGTGTCCGTAGCAAATCTGCCGGCGGATACGCGCTTGCTTTTATTCATGCCATAATATGATATGTATTTGGCTTAAATGCTTTTTTGTTGCTGGGCGTTGACGACTGACATAGCTGCAGTGAAATCAAAGCAGGCAGACTAACTCTGCTGATGAATAGGCGCGGTTTGGCTAGTCATGCTATTAAATCTGCCGGCGTAATTTTTTTTATTTTTTTGCCTACGCGATCAGTTCTGCCGGCAAGTTAAAACTATAGCTTCGTATCAATGCTGCATATTTCCCCTTGAGCTTGTGGTCAATGTGGCGATGGCTTTCGTCTCCTCCGTTGGTAGGCATTCGCTGTCTCGCACGCACCTTTAGCCACTGTAGCACTGTTGTCCTGCTGTTATCCGTGCGCTCATGGTGACACTCATACACAGTATTTAGTTTTGGGTATGTTTGTTTCAGTTTTTTTAGCTTTTTTTTCTTAAAGAAAAAGTGCTTACACTTAAGAGGAAGTACTGATATTTATTTTAAAGCAAATCTGATAAGACAGCTGGATTCCTCGGTCTGTGAAATGGTAACACGTTCTGTGAAATGACCGTTTTCGTCTGTGATTTTACCGCGCTCTCTTCAACAACCAGCGATTGATCGGAAATGTCTCAAAGATGTGAATCCATGTGGCTGCACACTCGTGGAGCTCGAGCAGCAGCGTGCAAGAAGCGAAACACACAGGTGGGTCAAGGCTTGGCCCAAGCAGATAGTGCTCAAAGAGCCTCACTGTCAACTCCACTCTCTTCAGTTGGCGAAGAAGACGACACAGGCTGTGTCGTCGTGGATTTGTGGAATGCGTCGACAGTAGCTAGTGCCGAAGACGAGGTTCGCGAATAAGCGTATTAACTCTCTTGATAAGCATAAAGAAACATGGTAAATAACGAACTGGTCATTTGATGAGTCATTCTGCTAAACTAATCGCAAAGTAAAAATAGAGCAAAACCTCCGTATACATCGCAGCCACCATCCAATCAAAGACCGACCCGCTCCGATACCATAACGTGAACTGCACGAAGGCGGGTTTGAACTCAGGGCAGGTGCTTAGGTGGGTCGAGCCTAAACAACTGCGCCAAAATCTCTGAGCCCATAGTGGTCACAGTCAGAATAATATAAATAACTAAAATTAATTACTACTGATATATGTTTATTGCAATGCTTTTTATGGAATCGGATCGAGCAAGTCGCAGATGTGGGACACATTGATTGATGTTCGGCAGTCGCTAAGCAGAAGCCGATGGCAAAGCAGTCTCTGCGGATGACACGACCAGGACGCAGAGGACGCAACCAAGGACGTGGACTACGTGCTTGCCATCACAGAGATCATCGAGCTGATCGAGTCTCTGAATGTTGACTTCGCTTCACTTGAGCTCGCAACGCTGACACCGGAGGAGGTTTATGCTGAGTGGTGTGTCTGGAGACGGCTCAAGTGTCTTAGGCAGTAGTCAGAATACCAGTTCACGTGGCCATCTTGAGCACATTTTCCGTTATGCTGCAAAGGAATATTTCAACGTGGAAGTGAATGGACCACTTGAGTACGTTGTGGGTCGCAATCCGGACTTTCGTGAAGTCTCGCTGGTTGTAGAAGGCAAAGAAGTGCAAAAGTTCGCTGTCGCGTACGGGTTCCGCAACATCCAGTCGATCATGACGAAGATCAGGAGAAACCGGTGTCCGTATCACTACGTCGAGATCATGGCATGTCCAAGTGAATGTCTGAATGGTGGCGGCCAGATCCGACCAAAGTCGACGGTGTTGGCTTCGGAATTGCTTGACAATGTCACGAGCCACTTCCAGGAGCTGTGTAGCCTCGGTGTAACCCTCGTGATCGACTCGACATGCAGTGAAGACTTTGCACTGCTCGAATCTCGCGCAGAATTCCTGAACAGATACCGTAATCAACAGAAGACTATCTGGGCTTGACCACCGTCTTCTGTAGCTGTCTTGTCCGCTAAGACCGAGTTCTTGGAGCCTAGTACAACTGCCAATCCGCTGCAAGACCCGCTTCGAGCGATGCCAATGCTAGCATTGTCGTATCCTGGATGGAATATGCTGAAAAGTCTCAACCGAATGCCATTCCGTTCATTGACACGACGAAATCGCCGCAACAAATTGCTGGCTCGAT